AAAAAAAACCGGCCCGCAATGACCCGCCCTGGCCCGAGCCATTCGGGTCCGCCCCATCTTGCAAATGGGGCGGGTTCGCCCGCTCCACCTATACAATGGGGCGGGTCCAGGTATTAGTCTTGACCCGTGATGCCTCGACCCGACCCGGCCGACCCACTCATTATATAAGTATACATATTTTTTCTTAAATTATATTACAAATATACTTCCATATACATATGTGTGTATATAATAAATCACAAATTCTTTGATCTTATCATACATTAATATTTATATTTGAATGAGATGAACAACGGATTATCAATGTCTTCTTTATACATAGCATTTTAATACATATATTCAATTATTATAATTAAATAGATTAATTATTCAAGTCTAAGTACTTTTTTCTTAGTTTTTGAAAATTTTAGTGTATCGTGAATTTGATTTGATATATTTTTTTTTAATAATTATTTAGAGATAAACTTTAGGATTTGGATTATTAGCTAAATGCCTAAATATATCCTCAACTATCATCAAATTCAATAATTTATCATATACTTTCACTTTTATTATAAAAAGACTCAAACTTCAATTTTTCTACGTATTACACTTTCAACAGATGAATTAGTAAAACTTAAGAAGAAAATCATATTTATATGTCATATTTTTTTCCCTTCTTTTAGTTTTAGGTTTACAAACTTGTATTGATTATATCTTATTGGTATTCATAAAAATGTATAATTTTGAAAAAACAAAAAAGAAAAGCACAATTGTTTAAAAAGATGAAGTCTGAGTCTGTTTTTTTTTTAATAAAAGTGAAAGAATAAGATAGATTTGTGAATTTGGTGATAGTTTGGGATCAATTAAGCTAATAATCCTAAACTTTATGTAGATTCAATTGGTAACAGCAACCCACAAATTAAAATACATGCTAACCAGTTAGGTTACGGCGGCGGGACGGGTCAACAGGTTTGGACCCGTGCGGGTCATGGGGCGGGGCGAGTCCACCACGTGAAGTCGCGGGACGGGTCTGGGTCTTGCAGTACCCACCCCGCCCGATCCATTGACATGTCTAAACCGACGGTGGCTGAGATTCCGACTGATTATTAGAATATATATTTAATGTTTTAATTTTAATTTTTTCTCAATTCATAGTTTGTATTTCAAATAAATATACTTTATTTTTTTTATTATCTGACACCTATTGAATTAATTTTTAAACTTGATTTTCACAACAACAAAAAATTAAAAATGGCCGACTCGACCCGGGCTGGTAGACCGGCCTGGACCAGTCCTCAAGCCCAAAATTTTTTGACCCGCCCTAGACCGGCCCGGAGCCCGGCCCCTGGCTTAGGGAGTGTTTGCAACTGCTTCTGCTTAAAAAAAAGCACTTTTGGAGATGTAAGGAAAAAGTGATTAGTAAGAAAAGTTGATAGTGTTTGGGAAAAAAGTGATTTTGAAAAGTAAAAGTTGATAGTGTTTGGTAAAATAAGTGTTTTTTGTGTAATAGAAAGGGGAAAAGCACTTTTCACACGCAAGCCGAGAAAAAGTAAAAATTGGTAGTGTTTGGTAAATAAGTGCTTTTTAAAGCCAAAAGCTGAGAGGTACTGTAATTAAAGAAGAGCCAATCTCCGCGGACTAGTTTGGATTGAGCTGCGACGTCGTTTTATCGCCGCATTTAGTACTTCTGGCCTTTTCGAAATTGCCCCTTTTCTTTGCTTTTTTGCTAAACTAGTACAGTACCCGTGCATACGCACGGGAAATAGCAGTTGGTGCATATATTTTTACTTATGATCTAATTAAATATTAACATAAAATATCCTTTAGGATTCTAAATTTTTGGAAAAATAAGAGTGCAATAAGTTGACACCATAAAGTATAAGCACATACAATAAATATTTAATGAAGAGTATATTAGAAAAACTTAATTGACACCATTCATTACAATTTGCTACTTATTAATTTTTATGATTAAATTAATTTTAAATCTTAAATATTATTCTAAAAATGTGGATACAATAAGTGAGTGACATAAAGTTTAAGTGAATACAATAAATATTAAATTAAATGCATATTAGTTAAATAAGAACTTGCCACTCATTAGTTAAATTAGTGCTAACATATGATATAGAAAATTATTTCGCTCAATTATTAGCCGGCTTATCTTACATTTAAAAGAACTAAGTATGAGAAATATTATTTCGCTCAATTGTTAGCTGAATTATCTTACCTTATACTTAAAAGCACGTACTTTAAATATGTTTTTTACTCAATCGTTAGCAAACTTACCATCTAATCTAATACCTAAAAGTACTACATATGAAAAAGAGAATTCATGCACTCAATTATAAGCAACCATATCTTCTTATACCTAAAAGCACTACAAATGAGAAAAAAAATTATTCTGCTTAATTGTTAGTCGGCTAATCTTATATCTAAAAACACTACATACTATCTATATGGGAGAGAAAATTCTCTCACTCAATTGTTAGTCCGCTTATCTTATACACGAAATACTTAAAAGAACTACCTATGAAAGAAAATTCTCCCACTCAATTGTTAGTCGCCTTTTGACCTTATTTTCTCATACCTAAAATCTTATACTTAAAACCATTACATATGAGAGAAATTCTACTGCTCAATTGTTAGCCAACATATCTTAGACTTAAAAACACTACACGTGAGAGAGAAAATTATACCGCTCACTTGTTAGACGGCTTATCTTATACGCAATAGCACTATATGTCTATATATGAGAGAGAAAATTATCTCTCTCAATTGCTAGAAGGATTATGTTATCTCATAAAGAGAAAAAAAAGGATTATGTTATCTCATACCTAAAACACTTTTTATGAGAAGGACAAATCTATTGCTCAATTGTTAGACGGTTTATCTTCTTATATCTAAAAGCACTACACATGAGAGAGAGAGAAATTATCCCTCTTAATTTTTAGCCGAGTTATCTTATACTCCCTCCGTCCCTGAATTATCTTCCCATTTACTATTCACACGGTCAACTCAAATTACTCCTAATCTTGTACTCTATATATCAAATTTAAATTTTCTTGACCAGGCTTTGTAGCAGTTTTAATGTATTTTCTGAATATGTAAATTTTATTTAATAAAAATAATCTGAGTGTGAACAGGGATCAAATTGCTTACTCGTCAGTCAAGCATCGTATACCGTATAATGAAGATAAATATGGGACGAAGGTAGTACCAAAAAGCATTATGTATGGAAGAGAAATTTCTCTCACTCAATTGTAGCCGACTGGTCTGATCATATACGTTAAAATACTACACATGAGAGAGAAACCATCTCACTTGATTAATAGCAAGTTTATCTTCTAATAATACCTAAAAGCACTACATATATGAGAGAAAAAATCATCCCGCTTAATTGTTAACCGGCTTATCTTTTATTAGTTATGTGTCTTTGTCCCACTAACATTGAGACATGAGAAGTGACGAAGTTACTAAAAAATGTGTCTATGCTACTCTTAGCGAATTTGTCATTATTTTTGCTCTATTTCCTATTAAGAAATTGTTCATTGTAAAATTTCACATTCATATGAGATATTACGTAGAATTAAAAAGGGTAAAACTGTATTTGTATTATCCTATGCTTTTCTTATAAAATGTTAATTCCTTAGGTGTAGCAACCAAATATAGACTCCCTTTTAAATCATCAGAAACTAATGATAATCAAGAGTGGCTAGTTCTATTTTGAAATGAAAGACATTTTGGATCCATTATAAACTATGGCATGAGATAAGGCGAGGTAGACAATCGGAAAAAACATTGAGATAAAAAAAAACATAACATTATGTTTGGCTGAAATATATTTGGCTACTCTTAGTTATATCCTTTCTCTATTCTCTATGATTTACTCTCCTACTCATATTTGGAGCAATTTCTTATAAGAAACCCATGCCTCCCGACTTAATCTTTCTATCCTCCACCCAAGTGTAGAACTTGGAATTTAACAAAAAAAAAGACATCATAAGAAGTGTAAGCACAAATAGAAAGAGAATGGCTTCCATGAACCCAAATAATATTTAGAAGAAGCCATGCAATTTTTTTATCCATTTGGACAGCAAGATGATTGAACCGCATATACATTGACATGACATTGTTAAATTGCACATCAAGTAGCCAAAATAAACCAGCAAATACCGTGTCACAAAGATACACTCCGATCCAATAACTAAAAAACACTCTTAAATATCACAACTTAAGAAAGTGATTCAAGGTTTTAAGTAATTAAAATGAATCAAAAGCTCATACACTTTCATAAATAATTAAAAATATATATTATAATATATTGGAGAAATGGAATCATGATTCATGAAGAGTGTTAAAATAAGGAATAGGGAACGGGAGAATATATCATCTAAACCAAAAAAATAAATTGAACTATAAAAACTAATCTTTTTCTCATATAAACATTTCATCAAACACCTCATATGTTTTGGTGTACCTATAACTCACGTAAAAATTTGAGAAATAAATTCATCAACAATAAAAGAACATGGAATAAGAGAAGAGGTAGCGTACCTAGAGCGGCAATAGCACAACAGTCGGTTATCTCGTAGATTGAGAGCAAGTAGATGAGAGACCTGTTGGTATTGTACATGGTACACCTCGTCTGAGATTTGCTAGTTTGAAAAGATAGATGAAGAATTCTAAATAGCTTTAGAATTTGGTGAATATCGCAGGTAAACAGCTCTATCGTTGGGGAGATGAGAAAAAGTTTAGGCTATGAAAAATTGGTGAGTGCGGAGAAGATGGAAGGCAGGGGAGTGAATTTTCTTTTTTGTGAGCAAAAAGACGCATAAACCTGAGTTAAACACTGACAGAGCCACATGGCAGCAAGATATGGAAGGAGTAAAAGTTGGGAAGAGAGACACGTAGGTATTTTTAAGGGCAGAATTGTCTTTACATCAGCTATCTCTTTTCTTATATATAAATAGATAAATAGATTTCAAGGCCAAAAGTTTTTCACCCGCAGCCGATTGGATGATTGTTCTTGTCCTTTCCACCCCGCCTCAAATTTCTTTTACGTACAGTGTACAGCCGCCCTACAAGGAGGGAATCCCAAAACGGTTTTTGCGCTTAGCAACAAGCGTAGAGATAGAAATTTAACTCTCACTTCTCAGTTCCCAATCCTCTTCTCCCTCGATAGATGAAAAATAATGTTTGATCGCAACTTCTTTCAATAAGTTACCAGCAGAGATGGATTTCTGGTTAGGAAATTGAACTGTGGAGGCCTCTCCTGTTTCAAGTAGAAATTCCACTGCTTCTTAGTAGTAGTTGAGCTCTCAACCTCTTGATCGTTGTTTTCGGTACTCTTTTGGTGGTTGTCGTGGTTGGGTCGCTACCTTCCAATTTGACTTCTTTTCAAGCAACCTAACTCCCTCTCTCTCCGTCTCTGTCTACAATTTTATTCTAAATACCCTATCAGCTAAGCTGTTTCGTGGAGGAGAAGGCTTGGAACTGATTTTGAAATGGGCGCCTTGAAAAGATTGGATCTTTGGTGTGTGGGGAGAGGAAGTTGTGATATTTTGCTGAGAATTTCGTGTGTTTTGTATTTTGCCTTTTGTCTCTTCTGCCCGGCGATTGCCCTCAGACCTTTAAGGGAGAGGTATCAGTCTTGGGGTGACGAGGTGAGCGTTAATAAATTTCCTTTTTATCTTCAATTTTTTACTTAATAAGAAAAGCTAGATTGAATTCGTTTTTTGTCATAGTTGCACTCAATTTGGTGTGGAATTCATTCCGTCGTTGTTTCCTATTATTTTCTTCCACAAGATGTAATACGGCTTTTTATTTATGAATTTTTAACTTAAAATGTAACCTTTCCTTGCAAATTGCAGCCAAAGTTTCTGCAATCACTATATTTATAATATATTGATATATTTAGATATTTTTTTGGGTTTGTTGAATTAATCAGACAGTGACACGTTATGAATAGACAGTTTTGGTATTGATATAAAACCTTGCGAGACCTTTGAAATGTTTTACATTCTAAAAGATACAATTGGTTCTCCCTTTTAAATCTTGTTGGATGTCGTATGAGGAACTATAGGAGTTTAAGCTTCTATAGTTTTAGGGATTTGCAAAGTCTGGAACTTTGATTTGAGTTTGTTGTGATTCCGACATTTCCACTCTTGCTGCAAATTGGTATATATGGCTATTCTATTTTGATGTCTTTTAAAGTTCACATTTTTAATTTCAACTGGATGTTGATGTGAATTATCATGTTTGAATATGATGCACGACATACTTTCCAGTAGTGTTAGTTTTAACGTGTCGTTTACCAAGAAAGAAAACTATGGAAGAAACGATGGGTATTAGATTGGATGATGTAGTGCAACCATGATTTGATAGTCTGAAAACTAGTCTGCAAATTAGGAGAAGTTTGGAAAAATATTTTAGCAAACCATATGAGTGTGCGTGACCTATTAATGCCAGAACTAGCAGTACTTGATTGTCTTTCCTAATTCTTCCAGTCTTGTAACTATAGTAGAAGTTGTTCTTTTAACAATGGTATGACCGTATGACTTGGTCCTATATTTTTCTTATGTATTGCTCCCCACTACAAAGTTTAATAAGTTTCTGCGAACCATTTCCTCAACCTTTCTAATTCTCTCGGTAGGACATCTGGCCACTAGGCAGATCAAGTTTTAAAACAATTTCACTTATTATATGTCTCAGGATAACGACTTGTTGTTTAGTATTTTTACTGCTGTTGATTCTCGCAGTGGCTCTTCGTCAGGAAGGATGACAATCAAATGGGCCCATTTTCTGCTTGGAATGTCACAGGAACATATAGAGGTATGTAAACATCCTAGCCAACAGGTATGGAGTTCTATGTAGAATTCATTACATAGTTGAATGGGAATATGTTCTTCATTCTTTCTCTCTTCATTCTTTCCCCCGCTCTGCTTGGAAATTATGATGACTAAAACTAATGCATAATTCATTATTCTTAGTTGATACATAAACTGCATTATTTATTTTGTTTGGTGGTTAAAGGGATAACATGAGAAAAAGGAAATGATGAATTTCCCATGCATAACAAAATTACCTTCCTAATATTATGTCTTATTTGTTTATGGCCTTCTGAATTCTGATCATTCTTATTCAGGGTCTTGGAGGTTCCTAGATTCAGCAAATACAACTACTAAGTTTCCTGACTTTAGGAAATCTAACGGCAATACTGTCCTTGAATTGATAAGTACTCCAACAAAAATAACAGGCGTACACTATATTCAGGTAATATGATCTTTATGCCCACCTTGTGTTTGCCTTGCTATTAACTATGATGAAAAGTAATTATGTCATTCAAATGTCATTCACTTTTCCGTTTTGGTTATTCAATTCATTTTTAAGCTGTAGCCTTGTGTAACTAAAAGTTTATTGCTCCGTAAAAAATAGCCCTCACTGCATGCAAAGGAACATAAATATGATTTACTGATGGTTTCATGTTAAATTTATCTGTGCGTAAGTCTATGAATACTTTAGTGCCTTTGTAAACTATCATATGCACTTTTTTTGCGTGCTAGTCTTTTAGCTTTCAGTTCTTTTGTATTGATGAATATCATGAGCTCTTAAAAGCTATCACCTAATGTATGAAGAGCACTATATCATCATTTATCACTTATGATATTTCTCAACTGAAACACTGATTTTAATACGTTTACGTTAATATTGGATAGGGGGTGATGGTTTTCCATGATGTTTTTGACAATGAACATGAAGCTACTGGTGCTCAAATCCGTGTAGAAGGTGTATACATATGGCCCTTCAGACAACTCCGAATGGTAGCTTACAGGTATTCTCTTCTGGAAGACTCATATGTGGTGTTTCTCATAATATATTTTTGCTGAACTGCCGGGGGTATGTTTGGTTCCCAGGAAATGATGGGGAAAGAGGATAGATGGTAAGGAAAGTTATTTTCTCGTGTTTAGCACATTAGAAGATGAAATGTAGTTAATATTTTAAAAAAACATAGTAGTCTTTATAAGATAGATAATAGATTAGATAAATAAAACGAGTCTGAACATACATTTTGCCATCCCTCACTTTTTATTTATTTTCTTATTTCCCCTATATTTTCTTTTATCTACTTTTCACAGTTCCAAATGGACCACTAAACTATATGCTATTTATTTGCAGTGGCAAAGAGGGTGAGTTTAGCCATGAAGATGAGTATCTCTTGTCAAATCCTTATCACCTGGTTAGTGCTTGGATATATGCTTTAACATCCATCGGCTATTGTCACATCGTAGAATTTTTAGCTTAGAGTTTTGATTGTCATAAAAATCCCTTAGTCCTTTGCGAATTCAGAAAGGTAGGTAAAATGCCCAGAAAGTGCACTTTTCCTCCTTGAGATTCATTTAAAGTCCATTTGGAACTCAGAAAATGTAAGGTGAAGAAAATAGGGACAAAATGTAGGGGATATTTGGAAGGAAAGATGATGTGGAGTATACAAAAAATAGGTTTGATCTCAGTATATTTATTTCTACATTTCTTCAAACTCATTCTATTTCTTATTAAACAAAAGGAAATAACACTGGCATTATGCCATTATCTCTGAACAAAAAATACCCTTGACCTGTAGCTAATTTACCTGATACATAGCTACAGTGATACTATTTCTTAGTTGTGCGCATGCAGTTCAAATTAACAGTTATTCGTATTGGCTCTACCTGAAGATCTTTGACCACACTAAACTAGCTTATTCATGTTTTTTACCAGCTTGGAGTATTTTCGTCCCAGGTGTTTCAGGAGTCTCCTCGTGACAAAGTTTGGAAAAGGAAACACTGTTAGTTATCTTCTATTCTTCTTGAATTTTGACCATTCAACGATGCTTTTTTATTTTTTTAAGCTAGTGGCTTAATCTAGTTGACGTGCCTGGTTTTTACAGCACCGATTTATGAAATGGAAAAGCATTGTAACATTGAAATTGCCGCACATGTTTCCCGAGTCTCATCCACCCAAAATGGTATATCTTTTTTCATATAACCGTGTACGTAGTATTCATCATGCCCATGTGTATTCCAGAGACAATATGACTTTAACAAAAAAAAATATTCAACCATTTATAGCATGCGACTTTTATCTTGGGTTTCCTGAGTTATGTATTGCTTTTTTTAAATCGTAGATGGAGATCATGATAGATTTCATTTAGAAGGATTAATGGAAAGTCCTTCAGTAAATGATGATGGAGATTGCTTCTCTCCAATCCTATTGAATGCTTCTTCTATCAATGTTGAGGTTTACTACAACAAAGCAGTTAACTACACATTGATGGTTACCTTTGTATCCTTCATCGGTTCTATTTTCTTAGGATTATTGAGTCTTTTGACTGTGTTTGGATGGACTCCTTAACTCCATATCTTCAGGTCTCATTCCTTCAAGTTTTATTACTGATCAGACAAATGGAACACAGTAACACCCAATCAGTAAGAATAACAATGACTTCTTTCTGCGATGTAACATTTCTCTCTTCAAAAGATAGTTTTAATACTTTGGCCTCTTTTATAAAAGGGGGCTGCCAAAGTTTCAATTTTGATGATTGGGCAACAAGCTATCATGGATGCTTATTTATGCCTTTTGCATCTGACTGCTGGGATACTGGTTGGTAAGTCCTGATTTCTAAATAAAGTATCATTATTATCTAAGTAGTATAAATAGCAATTTCTATAGGTTTTCGAAGATTCAGAGTGCCCTTATCATAAACTTAGTTCTGCCCTTGATGGGTAATTGTTTCCTATGTAATCCATAACAAACATCCCTTCAACGTTTATGTTACAATTAATGCATATCCAGTATTACGGACTCTGAACTAGCAACATTGAATATTAATTATTAATAATAAATCTCTGGCATATATCCTTCCTTTCATGGAAGTTTTTGCATATCAGTATAATAAGAGCCCATTTGGATCCGGGAAAATAATAGGTAAAGATAATTGGAAGGATACATAGAGAAATATAGGAAGGAGAGAAAACATGGGAAAGTCAAAGATAGGCTAAAACATGATAATTTTATTTCAGGTATTTGTTGATACTCTTTGTTTTTTATCTGCCTTCATTATACAAATTCTAGGAGTAAGAAATCTATATATGTTTATTTACATTTAGGTTAAAAAAAGTCATGTTTCATTGTCCTCACATTTTTCAAGGCAAAATCAAACAAAAAATAGCATTCATTAGCAATTTCCTCGGCAACTCATGCTTCTATATATCACTGCTTATTTTATTTACTATGAAATCTAATATATATTTGCTTGTAAATTATTCCTTGTATACTTCTAGAGTCCCTCTTCAATGCTTTCGCGACTGCTGCATTCTTCAAGTTTGTGGTTTTCTCGATTTTTGAGATGCGATACCTTCTTGCAATCTGGAAAGCAAGAAGACCCATGAATAGTGGAGAGGGTTGGGAAGCAATGAGACGTGAACTCTCAGTTCTATACAGTCGTTTCTGTAAGTTCGATTAGTTAAATGGTATTGTCAGTTTCTAATTAAATCTTCTAAAATAGCTTTTGTTTTCCTTGTTTAATCTTCAATATACTATTTTGCAGATGGCATACTTTTGGGTGGCATATTGGTCATGTATGAATTTCATAATTTTCTACGGACAATTCTTCTCCTTTTGCACTCTTTTTGGATACCTCAAATTTTAACTAATATCATTCGTGACTCGAGAAAACCGCTGCATCCTCATTATATCTTAGGAATGACTATTACTCGGCTAGCAATTCCATTGTATGTCTTTGGCTGTCCTCACAACTTCATGCGCATAGAGACAGATAAGAAATGGTGTGTTTTCTTGGGCATGTTTATGGGTATTCAAGCCTCTATTCTCCTTCTGCAGCACTATCTTGGATCTAGGTGCTTCATTCCTCGTCAGGTTGGACATTTTGTTTCTCTCTGGCAACAACAGTATAATATGCTCTCTCTGTCCCAAATAAGAGTCATGTTTCAGCAAGGGACAAGCTCTTACAAGTTACGAATGGGCACTTGTACTCCTAGAATTTATTTCCAAGACTGTTTGAGTATCTATCGAATAAACTACAGGAATTTTAATTGAAAAATAAACTTAACATCAAAATCCGGACTCTATTTTTGGTACACAAGATTCTTGAAACAAGACTTTTGTTGGGATGGAGGAATTAATAAATATATTGTGACATGAGCACCGACAAGATAGAATTTAAATACAAGTTTGCTTGTTAAAATTTGGTTGAAATGACAGATTGGGTTGAATTCCTTAACATTATGGTTGAAATTGCTGAACAGACTGAATTTTCTATATTTATTTATAATATTTTTCAACAACAACAACATTACCTAGTGCCGCAAAGGCTCCCACCTACGATGGGGTAAGGAGGTCCGGATGTACCCATGATGAAAATCGCGTCAAAAATTGCATAGATTGACTACTGCTTCATAACAAAGAAGCGCAGACCGTTTAGTGAGTCATTTTGCTTTATTCCATAAAAAATATTATTTATAATATTTTTAATGAATTAAGAAAATAATATTTATAAAAAGTGTGACTTAATCCAGATGATTTTGTTGTGATATATCCTTTGAACCAGTTATGTAACTGGAAATGTTCATGTGGTTGCATTTGTCAAGCCAAATTCATCTATACATAGGGGACCTACTTTGGATAAATCTGTCATTTTTTCCTTTTTTACTTCGTTGGATGCTTATTCCTATGCAAGAATAAGGAGATACATTGGATTTTACTTGTGAAATATCATATATGTAACTGTTTTGAGCCTAATATTATCTTGACAATTGACATTGCAGATTTTGCCAGAGAAGTATAGCTATTATAGAAAGTTTGATCCGGATAAAGTCCAACCTATTGACTGTGTTATATGCATGACTTCCATTGACCTAAGTCTGCGTTCCAACGATTGCATGGTACTGTGACAGACAATATCATATTATTTTTTCATCCTCTGAGATCTTCTCTTATTCGTAGGGTATAACTGGAAATAACTATATTGTTCAGGTGACTCCGTGTGATCATTTCTTTCATTTGGGCTGTTTACAAAGATGGATGGACATAAAGATGGAGTGCCCCACTTGCCGACGATCGCTTCCTCCGGTATAAGCCGATTGTATTGTTTATATGTTTATATGTATTACGGAGTAATACAGCTCTGCTGAAACAATGGCAACCCTAGTAGGAAAGGTAAAATGAATTTGCACAAGCTCTTGACTTTTCACATACACAAATGCTTGGTGTACACCTTTCTGTGTGCACACTTTGTCTGTCTACATAGACAGACAAATAGACAGAGTTGTCTGTATACCGACAATTCATATTGAAATACAAAAGTTGTCTACAGACCCGTGTAGATACACAAGGTGTGCCAAAGGTGTACATAACTACTCTCAATCACTGTTTGCTAAAATGAAAATAGCACTTTTTGGTCCGGTATTTTTTCTGCTTTCAGTTTTATGAAGTTTTCCTTATATATGATACTCCCTCCGGTTTTTAATAAACTTCACACTTTCCTTTTTGGGACGGTCTAAAATAAACTTCACACTTCCTTATTTCCTTTTTTGGCAAAGAAATCTACATCAAAACAGTGTCAAACAGTGCCAAACAGTGCCAAACAGTAGTGTCTCAACAGTGCCAAACAGTGTCTCTACAGTGCCAAACAGTGCCTCAACAGTGTACTCTACAGTAAAGTCAAATTTCTTTCCTTATTTTGTGTGAAGTCAAACTGTGAAGATTAAAAAAAACCGGAGGTAGTATATGTATAATTATCTTCTAGTTCATTATACAACCTATTTCACATATTATCATAAACCTTTTTAGAATAATAAAAAGGTATAATATTGGACATGTTTTTCATTTTTTGGTGTATTAGTCCCTCAATTGCTGTAATTTAGATCTAATTAGTCCCGTTAAAATTACTGCTTGCTGCGTTAAATATTAGGGTTTATGGGTAATGCCACGGATGCCCCAGAAAACCCTAATACTAAAAGTGATTTCAACGGCTGGACTAATTGTATATATGTATCTTCTAAATTATAACAACACAGGAGCTACATTTACAAAATTTGAAAGACAAACACAGATCCCAGACGCATAATGTCAGAAAAATTGGAGGGGACTCGAAAGCACTAATTTCCCTTTTTTAAATAGCTAATCATTTTTTGTTTTCAAAGTTCACTAACTACCATATTGAATAATACATCATTTTTTGCAGTTTGTTTATGCTTAAATTAAACTTGAGAACATTTTCACTCAGCTACAAGTCTGTATTTTTTCCCAGGTATAATGTGATTATGCTGAAGTCGGCTCTCGTTTAGAAACCCAAACTAACGTAGGAGATTGCAATCTTCAATGTACACCATACTCATGAAGAAGAGTTCATCAACAGCATTGCTTCTCTTTGTAAATTTTAGTACTTCATTCACAAATATTCGATTTACCCCTGAGAAGAGAACGTGACTTCTGAAATGCCATCAAGAATGGCTATAGATTCTTGGTGTTCACAAGCCATAGTGTACATGCACTCTCAAGGATTAATAATAAAAAGCTCAAAATATTTGCGCTTTAAGCTCCTTTGGTTTTTTTTTTATCTTACATTTCAGTCTCTATATACATTTCAAATGCAATTAACTATGCACGAACTGGGTTAATTGAATTGTAAAAAAAGGGTTAATTGAATTGTAATAGACAGTATAAATGAGTAGTAATTTCTCCACGATGAAAATCGTTATTTTATGTGATTTATTAGGTATAAATTGTATAATACTCCCTCCATCTTGTTTTGTTTGTCTCATCTTTCTTTTTCGATTCAATTCATCCTACTAAAATTGTCTCATACTAAATTTGGTAAAATTTATATGATTCTAAATCATTTTTACTTTATTTTTATTTTATTAATCAAATAATTATCACATATACTCACTTTTCTTAATAATTGTATCACCTCTTCGTCCGTTAATGTTAATGGGACGGAGCCGAGGTAGTACATTCGTGACAAACCTCTACAAATTGAGTTCAATCCCCATCTTGAAGTTGTATGTTCTAAAATATGTTAGCACAATTTCGTGCAAATATTTAACATTTCAAAAAAGGGAAATAAGTTTAAACTCTAAATGATACTACCTTTGTTCACCTAGCATTAGTAAGGAAATGGTTCCTCCATGATCCTCCATCTAATAATTATATCTACACGAAATATTGAATGAGCACGAAGCTACAAACTATGCAAGTACATTAGTATATAATGCACTTGTTAGTATACAAAGTAGATACAATTCAGAAGCACAGCATATAATGAATGAATGACTGGGAGATCCTGGGGAATCTATCATCGTAGACAAATTCATTGGTGAAGACTCTATGCACATTAGAATTATCTAATATAGCGAGGTTTTGTGCTTCTGTAATATTTTTGTAAGCTTGTAAAACAACTGAGGATCCGAGCAAATATAATCTTGAAATGCTTGTCTCAGATCCTTTAACACTGTCATGTGATCTTTGTTAGGTTTTGGATTTAGACACTTCGTAAACAAAGTCTCCCATAGTTCAGTTTTCCAGTACCTGAAAGCGCACGAAGATTGGTTTGGAACACCGTGAATGTGAGTGAAAGAAAATAGAGAAGTAAATAAGGAGATTTTGAAAGAAAGAAAGAGCATGCAGGGGGGGGGGGGGGGGGGGTAAATATTGGTTCAAATCAATAGATTCATTTTTTGTTATTCTAATGTTATTTGATTTACAAAAAACGGTTCCGATCAGAACAACCATTTCGGTTTGCATAATCTTGGAAAACAAAACCAACATACTAAATCAACAGTTATGAACAGGAGCTACTGTGCATTTCAGGTTAAGATTGCAGTTCCAAAAGCGGTTGCAGTTTAACTGATAACATCAGACAAGTCTGCACTTGGAAGTTGGACATACAATTAGGACTGTGCATTAACCGGGTCGGACCGTATTTTAGACCTGAACCGGACCGGAATGGACCGGTCCGGGTTTCGGTCCTTAGTTTTGTAAGATTCCGGGTTCCGGTCCGGTCCGGGTCAAACCCGGAAAAAACAGGTCCGGACCGGAATGGACCGGTAACCTATTTTCCCGTAAAATATATACTTGGTTTTGTATCATTAGTCATTATGTTTATGACTTATTTTTGTCTTTTATTATATAAACGAATATATACGAAGTTTATATTTGGTGTCTAATTATTTCCTAAGTTGTTTTTTATTTATTTATTTATGTGATTTTTCTGCTTTTTATTTGTTTCTTTGTTTTCAGGTGCACATGTAGTTTATACGTAGTATATTTTTGGACTTAATTTAGTTTTTATTACTTTATAATAGATTTTTCATTTTAATATACACAAAAGATTGTAGTTTTAATTATTGTGGGAAAGTAATTGTTACGATTGAATAGTTTTGATAACTATATTCCAAAATTAATAAATGAGCTAGATAAACAATTATTTAGTCTATTTAGCATATCCGCACATAAAATTATAATTTAGAACAACAACATCCAAGCCTTATTCCAAAAAAAATTTGGGACCAACTAAGAACACTCTAAGATAATATTAATTTTTTTAAAACCGGGTCAATTAGGGTCAAAACCGGACCGGACCGGAAAATTCAGGTCCGTACCGATCCGGACCGGTTAGATCCAGGTCTGGTCTTCGGTCCAAAGAAAATGATGATTCCGGTTCCGGTCCTAACCGGTTCCGGTCCGGTCCGGTCCAGTTTTGGACCGGTGCACACCCCTACATACAATTATGATGTGATTATTATGTACTCCCTCCGTATTTTAAAGTTTGCTACTTTCTTTTTTGGATGTATTTAAACGTTTGTTACACTTTTTCTTTTTGGTAAGTTTTTCCTTTAAAAATATTCAATTACCCTTACTTTTTCTACTTTTTTTTTCTCTCTCTTTCATACTTTTCCACCCTCTCTCCTACTTGTTCTACACTATTCATTACCTTTTCTATTTCATCCTTAAATAATGTGCTCAAACCTATTGTAGTGAACTTTCAAATACCGAGGGAGCATTTATTACATTATACTACCTCTGTCCCAGTGACATTAAGACATGAGGGGGTGATGCAGTTATTAAAAAAAGTGGTTTTATGTGGTTGATATTGAATTGATAAAGTAAGAATAAAGTAAGAATGTTTTAGAATCACACAAATTTCCCAAATTTAGTATGAGAATATCTTAGTGAGATAGACTGAAAAGAAAAGATGAGACAATCTTAGTGAAACAATCTGATTATCAAACCAATTTTATTACGAGAAATGAGCTGCTAAAAATTTAATTACCTTTAGTGCAACAATCTTATCCGGTTTACGGTCAGCATATGCCTTAAATACTTGTGAAAATCTACCCTTACCGGCACAACCTTTAATTTAATTAGGTACACAAAGCCACCTAAAGCAGTTGAAATAATACTTGAGGAATTTCAATAAACTATAGACTATAGAGGTTGTAATAATATATAATTCGTTTTGCAATATCTACACAGTGCTGAACCGATCTTACTTTTCTTAACCTGAGTGTGTGCATCTAAATGTTTAGATATTACGTCAATGATTTCACCAATGAAACATCAATGCTTAGTTACCTAAATGAATAGTTTGATTTCGGCCTGATTTCTGCAAAGCAGATAATGACACCTTTCCAGGATAAGCTTTTTTGTTTTGATGGAATCCCTGGTAAAGTATATCTTCCAATAAGACAAATTACATACAACATGATAATTTAACAGGAAATACAATAAGAATTAATATGTCTCACATCATATTTCAACATTTGAGGGTTCAGCTTCCGCAGTAGATCCTCAATGACTGACGTCAGCCATGGGTTGACACAAGTTCCACCATTTTCCGATTGATTGTTTGCCTGCATAATGAATAGTCTTCCTTAAAATTGTATCCATAGAAATAGCAACTATACAACATGCGTGAGGACGGCAGAGTAGCATTAATTCAAAAGAAAAGAATAAAGTGTAAGTATTTACAAGTTACATTCATTGATACAAATACTAGTTCAAAACGCAAAAAGCATGATTGAATATGTGACACAAAAGTGCAGAAGTTAACTGTGGGGTGTATACACACAATGACACAAATGCATGGGGTGGCAGCACACACAAAGAGCTCTATTGACTGTTGAAGTGAAAAATAATGACTTTCAGAGATCAGTAGAAAAACATGTGTGGAGCTTTAGCAAAGACTAAATTCAACTACATTAGCCAAGGAATCATATGCCCAACATCAATTTCAATAATATAACTCACATATCATATATGCTGCAGTGTTGCACAACACAATCCATGATATGAGTAATTTAGATAAACTATAAATGCAATGAACATACCGTCTGGGTTGAACTAGTTGACATGCTGAACTCAGACACTCTCTCAAGAAACAAAACTTGTGCCTTCTTCAACCTGCCCAATGGCTTAACATTCCTGAAACATAACGAATCATCACATCAATAAAACTCTAGCATATGCATTATGCATGGTTAAAATATGCCTTGTTTTAAAATGTTGAAGTCCTTAATTAGAGAACTCAAAACCTTGAAATGCCCATATGGTAAACCATAAACGCATCAATCAGTCTGCAGTTTGCTTCCAGAAGCAGTGCATACTTCTCATAACGCATATTATTTGATTCACAAATCTTATTCTGCAACATTTATCTGAAAATGCTGTCATAATCCGAATTGCTATCCATCTGCACCACAGAACTCCAATCCAAAAAATAAACATGTTTTTCTAATCACACAAACCACTTCGATACATTGATGCTTGTACATGTATCCAAAACATAAAAGCAAAAATTCGATTATTCATTACATAGATAAACCAAATCTGGAGAAATCTGGCGTCATTTTGGTAACGAGTGTCGGTTTTGAAGGCCTGCACGCAACTTTTAGCAATATGGTTTAGCACTTCACTAATTTTGCTTCCGCTTGAGCTTTGAGAATCAAATTCTTCCTTAACTGAACTGGTAAGAGAAGCACGCAGAGGAATAAACGAGGGATTTAGTAAGATATCCGCAGAAAGATGAGGACGATATGAGATAAATTTACCGGAGCCAAGGAACAAGAGGATCATCTATGTCATAAGCTCCACCCTCCAAAAGACGGCGTTGCTGGGGCGAGAGGGAGGTCTGTAATTTTCGTCCAGCGGAGTTTTTCATTTCTTCCGCTTCTTTTATTTCTATCCTCCCAGAAAAGTTTTCACTTCTCACATCCTTCTCACAGATACTTCTTACATCGTACATCGTACATCGTACATCATACATCATACAAGTCTTCGTTTGAAGGTAGACGCAATGCGCAGTATTAGTTCGTGGTATATGGGGAATTTAAAAAACAAATGAAAGAAAAAATTCAATTTAGTCCTTTAGTACTCCGTAGGTTATTCGCCATGTCAAAATGTCAAAATTTAAAAATTCAATTAACTCCTCAAAATTTGAAAAAATGTTCAATTGAGTCAATTAGTAGGTTATTCGCCATGTCAAATTTTCTGCTGACTCGGCACACATGTGGCAGCCCATAAACAGTGACTTTGTTGATGTGGTGTGCACGTGGAAGCCCAAACATTCATTTTCAAAGAGATTTGATTGATTTTTTAAAAAGTATGTGGACTCAATTGACATTTTCGTGATAGTAAGTGAACTTATAAGTTATATCTATATAAGGTATGTTTGACACAATTAGATGGGGAGTCGGGGCGACCGCAGTCACTGCCTAACCACCGCCCAACCACGATGGCGGTT